CCACCCAACCCAACCCCACCCAACCCAACCTCGAGGGGTTTTTCTCTCCACGGGTTGAGGTTGACCCTGGAGTAACGTTTGGGGTGGGTTCAGGGTCTCACCCCCCCCTCACCCCAGGGGCCGCGGGGCCGGCGGGGGCCTCTGTCGCTTTGCGCTGTGTCTGCTGAGTATCTGTCGCGTGGGGGCCGGAGTCTGTCACCAGTATGTCACCAGTATGTCACCAGTATGTATGGCACTAGCATGGCGGTAGCATGTCACTAGCGTGTCCCGTGTAGCCTGTACATGCCTTCACCCCCAGTATTTTTGCAGCGCGGAGTAACTTCCCAGTCGCCCGGTGGCCAGAGTTACGGCCCCGGGGAATAATTAGCCTCCCCCGAGTACTTTTTGGGGTGAGAAAGGTGGATATTGGGAGTATCCTGGTGGCTGGAGTATCCCCGGTGCGCGCCTGGAGTAAAGCTGGTGTAAGGACGGGGTGTCCCTTCTTTGGCCCGGGGTGGTGTTTTCCTGGAGGATCTCTGGAATCTCTTGAGTACCCCCAGAGTATCCTCCGAGTATCCCCGGTGTCTTTAAGGTGTTTTCCAGGGGTGTTGCTGGAGCAAGGAAGGAGTATCCCTGGTGTAGGCTGAGAGGGGGGGTGTGGAAAACGAGTAGCCCCCCAAGTAACGGGGATGTGGCTGCAGCCCCTGAGTGGGAGGAAGGGATGAGAGCACTTGGAGTAACTCTGGAGTATCCCTGGAGTATCCTTAGTGTATCCTGGGAGTACCTCAGGTGTATCCCAGGAGTATCTTTAGTGTATCCCGGGAGTATCCCTAGAGTACCTTTAGTGTATCCTAGTATTATCCCAGGAGTATCTCTAGTGTATCCCAGGAGTATCTCTAGTGTGTCCCAGGTGTATTCCAGGAGTATCCCTAGAGTATCTTTGGTGTATCCCAGGAATTTCTTCTGTGTATCCTGGGTGTATCCCAGGAGTATCCCTAGAGTACCTTTAGTGTATCCCAGGAATATCTTTAGAGTATCCCTGGAGTATCTTTAGTGTATCTCTGGTGTATCTCCAGAATAAAGCCTGGAGTAACTCAGGAGTATCCCTGGAGTATCTCGGGTGTTGTTACACGTTGTCCCCAGAGTTGCTGCGTCTCAGGAACATACCCCCAGTAACTGCAGCGTAGAGCCTGGAGTGCCGCAGCTTGGGGTGTCCCCAAGAGAGGGGACCTGGAGTAGGTGAGGAGGAGACCTGGAGTATGTGAGGAGTATTCCTGGAGTATCTCTGGCGTGTCTTAAGGCGTATTCCTGGAGTATGTGAGGAGTATTCTTGGAGTATCTTGGAGTATCTCCAGTGTGTCTAGAGAGTAGACCCTGGAGTATGTGAGGGGTAGACCTGGAGTATCTCTGGGGTGTCTTAAGATGTAGACCTGGAGAATGTGAGGAGTATTCCTGGAGTATCTTGGAGTATTTCTGGGGTGTCTAGAGAGTAGACCTGGAGTATGTGAGGGGTAGACCTGGAGTATCTCTGGGGTGTCTTAAGATGTAGACCTGGAGAATGTGAGGAGTATTCCTGGAGTATCTTGGAGTATTTCTGGGGTGTCTAGAGAGTAGACCTGGAGTATATGAGGAGTAGACCCAGAGTATCTCTGGGGTGTCTTAAGGAGTATCCCCAGAGTGTCCAAGGAGTATCCCCAAAGTATCTCTGGGGCATCTAAGGAGTAGACCTGGAGTATCTTAAGGAGTATCCAGGAGTGTCTACGGGCTAGACCCGGAGTATCTCCCGTGTGTCTCAGGAGTATCCCCGGAGTATGTGAGGAGGATCCCTGGTGTATCTCAGGAGTACACCCAGAGTATCCCCGGTGTGTCTAGAGAGTATCCTCTGAGTAAACAGCCCGATGCGAGTGTCCCCGGGGTGTGTACTCTGTGTACCCCCAGAGTATTACCCAGCGTAACCCTGCACCCTCCCC